ATATATATTGTACTATATATTACATAAATATACTATACTATACTGTGTACTATACTACACTGTACTATATATATATACACTACTATAGTATAGTATGGTATACTATATATAGTATATAATGCATATAGTATACTATATATATTATATAATACATGTAGTATGCTATAAATAGTACAGTAGACAGTATACTATATATGGTATACAGTATACTATATAGTATACTATATATGGTATACAGCATACTGTATAGTATATATGGTACAGTACACAGTATAGTATGCTATATATGGTACAGTACACAGTATAGTATACTATATATGGTACAGTACACAGTATAATATGCTATATATGGTATACAGTATGCTGTATAGTATACTATATATGGTACAGTACACAGTATAGTATGCTACATATGGTACAGCACACAGTATAGTATGCTATATATGGTACAGTACACAGTATAGTATACTATATATGGTACAGTACACAGTATAGTATACTATATATGGTACAGTATACAGTATAGTATACTATATATGGTATATATAGTACAGTATGCTATATATGGTACAGTACATAGTATAGTATACTATATATGGTACAGTATACAGTATAGTATAGTACATAATACAGTATAGCACGTAGTATAGCATACTATAGTATACTATATTATACTATATGCTACATACTAAGTATACTATACTATATTATATTATATAATAAAAATATACTATATATTTAACTACACTATGCATTAAATTTCTAATTTTATATACATTTATACATCTTACTTCTATTTATATATTTGTTCACTCAAATCTCCAAAAATTCACTCTATCATATCCATGTTCCTATCTTTCCAACAAAAATTATAAATTGATCGTATCGATTGCTCTGGCAATTCCAGTATTAAAAATAAAAGGGGACTGTTCGTTTCGATCTCCGATTCAAATTTGCACGAAGTTGTTGTACAGCTAAATTGAGCGCGTGCTCGTGGCAAAAGAAGAGGGAAGATAAAAGAGTGGTTGGACCGCGAAGTGCATGTAACATTTCGTGTTGGCATCCGGTGTTGCTTTTTGTCGACGAAGGGAGAGAAGCACGCCTTCTCTCTGAAGGAGGCTCCGCTTGACGTCTGACACACTTCTTCGACCTCTCGTGCAGTGCAGCCACTTTTTCGCCACCCTCTATAAACCACTCGACCAACGAATGAGAACTGCCCGATATCACGCCGTTTAACAATCTTCGCACCATCTTTTTTTCTATTCTGCTGTTTAATCTGAATTATGTATATCTGTTCGACAACGATCGAGTTTGCCTGAAGAAAAGTTCAGAAGACTCGGGAAGAAATCACTTGACCGCGTGATTAGGTGGAAACAGTAGGATTTTCGTCTGGATTTCCAAATTAAAAAAAACAATCTACACGATTACTTATTTTCCTGTACGCTTCGATATTTAAACGTTTTGTATTTATGTCGTCAGAGCTGTCGTGTTTATGTCAATTGTCAGAAGAAACACGTTGAACGTCAGATGTTTAAATGACGATTGATTTAAATGTCAGTTGGTATCAAAATCTTCGAATGAATGAAATCGGCAATGATTAGCTTCAGCGGATACTTGCATTTGCATACTCTTGGCAAATTTAGTGTTTCGTCGCCATTTCGTACGATGGTGGACGTTCGATTAGGATTCTACTGCAACAAACGTTAAACAATCTGTCTAAACAAGAACGTAGCAATCTCCTCGTCATCTCCGTGCCACAAACTCGCCTCGTCCATACCGCAAACTCTGCAATTGAGTCAGCTGTGATTCATCAAGGTCGAACGCAGCGGTGTATCGATGAAATTTCCAGCAGCCACGTACGCGAAATTTTAGTCGGTTGCGTTGCTTGCACATTTACCTGTGCGCTCGTACGATTTACAACATAATTTACGAGAGTAAATCCGTTTCGATTATCCTTGACGACATGTTCGATATTGTCATCAACGCGAAATTTCAAGAGTTCTTCTGGGGATTTCGAATTTAGTAGAATTTTTTAATTTTGAAAAAGAATATAATAGCATTGTAAAAATATTATTATTATTATTACATTATAATATAATAATTATATATAAATTTTATTATATTATAAATTATTATATATAAATATATATTATAATTATTGTATTATAATATAATTAATATATTATATATAAATATATAAATTTTATTATATTATAAATTATTATATATAAATTTATATTATTATAAATTATTATGTATAAATTTATATCATTGTAATTAATATATTACAATATAATAATTACGTATAAATTTTGTTATATTATAAATTATCATACATAAATTTATATTATTATAATTATTATATTATAATACAATTAATATATTATAATATAATAATTATATATAAATTTTATTATATTATAAATTATCATATTGCTATTATTACGTATTAATAATAGTAACAGTATTTATTAATACTAATTGTATTAATAATAGTATTCATTACTCTATTCACTTCGACACGACGTTGATTTTGTAGGCGATCAACTATAGCCTTGAACACCGAATGAGAGTCTTAATTTGAAAATACTCGCGCTCGAACAATAGTTACAACGTCACTTCTCTTCTTTACATAATCCTGCAGTAAAACGTTGTCTGACCATATATTGACTTATACTACTTGCTTACGCCTGACAGTGTCAGAATTGGTGGGAGAACGATGAAGCAGAAGTGGGGAGAACGATGAGATGGAGGGGAGAGGGCATGGGCCGCCAGTTCGCCACCTCTGCGAGCTCAGCCTGCAAGACTGCGAATATATATTTTCTTTTAAATAAATAACTTTTTCTTTAAAAAATCGACCTCTATACCTTCGTAGGTTTTATCTCTATTTTATCTACAATACGGTGCCAGAACAGTAAAGTAACACGTAATTCTTTTCTACCAAGTAGCGAATATTATCAACATTTCATAGTTAACTTGCTGATATCTCGAGACTCGCGTTTCTTACGAAGATTACGAAGATTTTTATAGCTGGATAACTCGAGAATCGTGAATATTAATTGAGACAAAACGTGATACATTTATTCTCTGACATTCCACATTTATTCTGTTTTAAACGTTTAAACTCTCGCTCCCACCGACGTCTAATTTATTCTTTATTCGCCCCGTCGGTTTTCAACGAACTTTGCTGTGTACGTTATACCGCAGAAATAATATATTGTATATATGTATGTATTTGTTATTACGCGGGCAGAGCACGCCATAGCTACCGGTATTCTCGGATAATATCCCGGAGTAATGCTCCTGAAACGCCGTGACGCAAGAGTACATTTTCGAAATTAATTCTATTCCCTTTGGACGATGTTTCAGGGAACGCTCGCGCCCCGTTCTTTAATGCAACGCGGCGTAAAACGATACCGATTATTCTTTTCGACTTTACCCGGCCAATTACTCGCGCAATTTGTCACGCGTGTTTTAACGGAATTAATTTCCAAACCGCTTGGATGGGAAATAATATTAATCAAGCCGAAAGAGGGGGGGGGGGGGGGGAGTGCGCGACTCTGCTTTCCAAGTCAGATTCAGTAAAATTTCGGTGACGGATGAAGATTTTTTTTTTTTTTTTATACGGCACTTGCAACAAAATGACAATGAACCGTTTATTTTTTATATATTATGGACCAAGTCCATTTGCATATCTTTAAATCGAGAGACACTTAACGGTTCGCGTTTTAATAAATTTAAAAATTGGCAACATGGTACTGTAATGTATTTTCTTTGTGTTTCTACGGGTGTATAATTTACCAACCCACAATTAGTATAATGGACGCTATTTAGAAAATAACACGTTTCTGATGGCTATAAATGGATTTAAGCCACCTTCGAAATAAAAATTATTTATTCACTCTATTAATCAGCTAATTTTCCGTGTACAAAGTCTTAGTGATTATAAACATGTTATTTATAAATTTATTATTATTTATTTATAATATTGTATAATAATCTATTTATCTATTTATTTATAAATATATTAGTTACAATTTGTTTGAAAAATGAAAAGATAACGTAGAAATGTAAATACTGAAACAAACAGCTTGATTTCTTTTTTTTTTCTCTTGGAGAATGGACTTGGACCACTTTCACAATAAAAATTTTTATCATTCTATTAACCAGCTAATTTTCTGTGTACAGTCTTAGTGATTATAAATATATTGTTTGCAGATTTATTATTATTCATTCACAAATAATATTACATTATATAATTATTTGTTTATTTACAAAATTAATTTGTTACAATTCAAAAAATGAAAAGATAACGTAGAAATGTAAATACTGAAACAGCCAGCTTGATTTCTTTCTTTTTCTCTTGGAGAATGGACTTGGGCCACTTTCACAATAAAAATTTTTATCATTCTATTAAC